AGCTGAAATAGGATATTATCTTTTGGAAAAATTATCTTATATAGCTCAGTACATCTATTTTGAAGAAAAATAGGTTTCATAATGATTTATTTAATTTTAATAATTAAAAAAGAGTTTTTTAAAACTACTGAAATTACCTTAAACCAAAAACTGGGTGTCAAACAAGCAGAAATTATTCGCCGACAACTTCATAAAGTTATCAAATACACAAAGACACTTGGGAGACTAATGTCCCTCACGGAACATAAACTTAAGTACAAAATATATCGTCCAATAACGACACATGTTCAATTTTTACGAATTTAACCGAAATATTGGAGTAAAAAGCTAGAATATGGGTGTCGCACACCCAGGGTGCGGTTTAAGGGTTAACAATCGATTCAATTTGCCTAAAACTCGTTACTCGCGGGATTTCGGGGTCGCTTATTAGGAATTTGTCCACAAATTTTTTTATTTTGACATTATATTCGCAATCAGCGACCCCGAAACCCCGGAGTAACAAATTTTAAACCAATCCAATCATTTTTTAAAACAGTTGTATTTACAAAAACTAAAAAGTGATTTTTGGGACTTATAGAGGAGAGTGGGGGAAGACGTGGTACCGGCCCTATTTAACAAACGAATTAACCAATGGCGATTATATTTTACATAATACTACACCGAGACGATAGTTTCTTGTTTACAAAACCTAAAAGCCATGAGAACAAATCTTTTACCTGTTTTACTAAAAAAAACTGTTTTCGACGATTTTCTTGTGAATTTTTCACTTTTTTAGGAGGTGTTTATTATTTAATAATAACGATTAATGAACTATATAAAAAATTTTATAACTGGCAAGGGTTACAGAAGAAGGGAAGCATATGTTTTTTTCTTTGTTCAATCGTAAATTGTAGTAATTATTCATTTTATTCAATTTCGTAGGTGCAGGCAAGATAGGGTAGGGAAGAGTGGGGCAAGACGGGGTACACAAATGAAGCAAAAGAAAAGAGAAATAAGGGAAGTTAAGAAAACTTCTTAAATCAAGACTGAATAAAATAAGAGTGACCAAAAAGAAAAAAAAGCTTGTCAGGTTAAATCAATAATTAGAGATGGTAAAGTGGAAAATACATCTTGTATCTATAAATTGTAATGGTTATTATTTAGACTCAAATGAAGGCTGGGCTGCTTGTTCTGTCTGCGGCCAATGGGCTATGTGCAGTTGTGCTGGTGTCGATGACGAAGATAAAGATCCAACCTTTACTTGTAAAATTTGTCGACAGAAATAGGTTGCTTTTTTAGTACCGCGCCGGTGGGTCAAGATAGGGAGATTTGCAATTTTTTCCATATTATAAATTTTATGATTTTTTAAGAAACAGATGGCCTTTGTACGCTTTTATTAGTAAAGACTGATTCCTAAAGATGGTTATTAAAGAAAATAATAAAATATATATTCGATAATTTTCGTTTTTTGCGCTTTAAACCTTAAGTACCCCGTCTTGCCCCACTCTCCCTTATCCCCACTTTTTTCAAAATCATGAACATAATTATCTACAAAATCTTGGTCTACAAAATTTTTAATAACGAAAAATCAGCAGTCTTCTGAATCAAAGCTCCCACATTAAGATAATACATTTTTAAGTTTCCGACTATCTGTAAAAGAGATGATTCGAAAAGAGGATCAGGTACGATTTATGGGTTTGAAAATTTGGAATTTGGAAGTCATTTAGAACAACTCCCCACTAAGTTTGTAGCGTTACATTTTAGAATAACCTGCCCACCCCTGAGGAGACCTGTGTCAGTTTCTCCACTCCATTTTCTCCAATACACTTTTTCCAATCCATTTTGTCCACTAATCAATTTCTCCACTATATTTTTTCCAATCCAATTATTCCACTACCAATTTTTTTCCAAAAAGTAATGAAATAATGTAACAATTTTTCAAAATTTTATATCATGTCCGATGGCTCGATGGCTTTGTCGACAGATGAAGTCTGTCATTAACATGGTAGTCGAGATGACAAAACCGTGCCTCGCACATTCTTCTCTCAGAACTTGAAAAACCCATTCAAAAATTAATAATTAAATATATTTTTTAAGTAATCGAATTATGTGTTACAAACTATAATTATTTGTTATTAAAATTGAGCTTCAGAGATGGCTCGTAATTCTAATTTGGGGAGGCACCAAGCTGCCAAGGTCCGAAGGACCTTGTTTAATTTGTGGGGTCGTTTTCCACTTTTACAAGTTACGCCTTGCTCTCGTGGGTATTTTATTTATTTGAATTTAGTGACTGAAAAACTCAAACGCGGCACGATTTTGACATTAAACAAATTAAATAACAAATTGAAGTTGACTTTAGTTTACCATTCAACAATTTGAAAAATGTAAAAAATAATTAGTAAAAAAATCGTGATTGGAAAAAAGAATTAGTGGAAAAAAATATTTGTGGAAAAAAGGTTATTGGAAAAAAGAATTAGTGGAAAAAAAGGTTACTGGAAAAAATGGAATGGATAAACTGGTGTACAATCGTTAAAAAAATCGGTGGCTTAAAAGGTGGTCGATATATCGACCACTGGGTCTGAAAGGGTTAAAACGTAGAAACTAAGAATGACAAAAATTTTTCATATTTTTTTCCTGAAAGCTAATGAAATTATGAAAAGACTGACACCTAATCGAAGACTTTTCGTTGACTATTCTGTCAGATACAGAATAAATACTGGATTTTGCATGCTTTTCGTAATTTTTTAATTTCTCAAAAACTAATTAACTTTTATTAGCGCTCTTGGTCTTGTTTCAATCTCTATTTAATGTTAAATCTAAATTATTAACTGGTATTGTGAAATAAATTTTTGTAAAAGTAGGATTAAAAAAATTAAAAAAATTATCATAAATATTTAAGTGTCAAAAAGGTCAATGTAAAATATGTTCATTTAATAGATATACTAAAATTCAAAAAATCTTTTTAATTACTTAATTATTTAATTTAAAAAATTTTGTTGTTGTTGAAAAAGTGTCAATCTGTTTTAAAAAATTTTTTTATCCGACTTTCAGTTTCAAATTTTTTTGGAAAAATTTATATCACAATACCATTAATTAATTTAGATTCTACATTGAATAGAGATTGAAACAAGACCAAGAACGCTAAAAAAAGTTAATTAGTTTTCGAGAAATTAAAAAATTACGAAAAGCATGCAAAATCCAGTATTTTTTCTGTATCTGACAGAATAGTCATCGAAAATTCTTCGATCAGGTGTCAGTCTTTTCATAATTTCATTCGCTTTCAGGAAAAAAATACGAAAAATTTTTGTCATTCTTATTTTCTACGTTTTAAGCATTTTTCCACTTATGAAAAAAGGGGCGTCCTGATACTCACGAACGGTAGTGTAGAAAATTTCATTTAATGATTTTCCGTTTAAGGTAATGGCAGAGCCATTGAAAACGACTCGTCGTCTTGTCGCGCTGCTGGAATCGGTCAATACCGGATAATGAGGAAGAAAAACTCGCGTAGGTATCGATACTTGTTCCGGTTTAAGTTTGGTCATATGACCAAGCGCTTCATAATCTTTGAGAAATTGATTGTAGATTTTTTGTTCTGGATCTCGATCCAATTTCTTATCTAAACGAAAAAATGATGCAAGTGGGGAAGATCGAGATTCTCCTAAAGCTTGTACAAGTTCGCGAAAGGGATAGCGAACAGAGTATTTACCATTTGGGTAGCGAGAAAGTGTAGCTTCGAAATGAGCCTCACAATCCTTTTCGTCTAAAGATAGAGGTTTGGAAAATATAGGCTCTTTAAGAGCAAGTACGAATATCCGAATTGTCCTCACAATGCGTAGAAGAATCTTAGATTATAATGAAGTCCATAAATTATATCATGGTTTATCAATATATCACACCACGAAATTATAGATTCGTGCAGTATATCATCTCTGAGAAACGCAGGGTGGCCAACTTAGGCCCACGGCCAACTTAGGACCACTTTCCCCTATATATTAAATTAATTTTTTCTTGTTTAAAATTTCTTCTCAATATGTTCCCTTTTATGTAAAAAAGTATTAGTTAATAATTTATTTATTTGTTTATACACCTGTCTTCAGCCTACATAACTTGGCTATACAAATTTTCTCTCTTACAATGTTTTCTATACTTAATTCTAAATTTTGCGCCTACAGAACGACTTGAAAATTAGGAGTATTCGTATTTGACTGGACCACCTGTCTAATGGGTTTTCTCGACAGTGGAGAGGGAAACTTAGAAAACCTCTCCTGAGTACAACCGGTTTATCGACATTTGAGTTCTAATTGTGTGTACCGGACAATAATCGACAGTGCACATCATTATACCTCGACGTCAAACCTCCCGCTCAGATTATCTCACGTGCCGGAAAAATACCAAGCCAAATGGGCGCGAACCAAGGGTACTTACTCTTGGTCCTAAAACATCTCCCAAGCGAGGCATCTATCCGACTGAGCTAATCTGTCGGTTGTATTAGTTAATTATAAGAATATATTATATCATTAGAAAAAACATTTTGAAAAAACACTCGGTTTGACCAGACTCCCCCCTTAATTGGCAACCATTTTATAGTTTTCCCCCTACCGCGTCGTCTCTACCTTCGTTTTATTGTACAACGTCGCTGTTAATCAGTCTTGTAAATCTATAATTAAGATGGCAACCTTTCCCTAAATCATTGTTAAAACTCCCCTTAGTGTTTAATAAAATACATTAAACGAAATTTAATTCTTCTTATTTGCACACTTATCGACTCCTTTAGAGCGTCCTAACTCCTATCTCCTGGTTTTGTAGTGATTATATTATCGTTTTTTTTGCTTTTGGGTTTGACTATTCCAGTTAAAAATAGTTTAGCCCTCCCTCTTCGTCACATTTTTTATATACAGAATAAATGTTTTTTCACATTTCGCCACATACAGCATGACCTCCTCCCAATCCAAGGACTGTGACGTAGTTTGTGAACGACTCCATTAACAATATTATATAATTTTAGTATCAATAATGCTCACCTCATGCAATCCAGGCATTGTATCTGCACCATACTCCGACATCAAAACGGGTTTGTTATATTTGCGATGCCAAGACTCAGCTTCTGAAATTACTTTTTCTGTGATCATGTCAGTTCTTCCTGAATTGTGATACCAAGAATTATATCTATTGAAGCTAATAATATCCAAAAATTCACCAGCTTTATCTTCCTATAAAAACATTAGTAATTTTAAATTAGTGCTATTTGCTTCTTGATGGAGATTCTTTTTATTTACTTTGAAATAAAAAAATTTAAAGATCGCCCGGAAAATTTCTTCTGTTTATAAATGTATATAGAAAAATATTGAATAGGTATTTGTTTATATATTTTATAACTGCCCAAATTTTCGAGTTATAAATTTTCGAAATTTATCATTCTTGAAAGTAGACCTATTTTCAGTAGCTTACAATTCAGAGACTCAGTTCAACCTTTTCTGATTATTAACCCATTAAAGCCCATGATTAGACAAATAAAAATATCATCAAAATTATTATTGGAAACAGGACTGCGGATCAAATAATGACTTTTGACGTCAAAAATTGTTTAAAAAATAATTTGTTTATAAAAATTGTTATAAACAAATGGAGAAAATTGATAAAATTTGAAAAACTAATAGCGCCATTCGATTCTACGTGAAAAATTACTAAAGGAACATGTATGACATTTTAAAAATTTTCACTCAGTTTGTTGTAAATAATTTATAAACAAATAATAATGCACACTCACATACCTATTTGAGCCCATCATTACACAACTAAACATTTCATCAAAATTATGATTGGAAACAGGACTGCGGATCAAATGATGACTTTTGACATCAAAAATTGTTTAAAAAATAATTTGTTTATAAAAATTGTTATAAACAAATGAAGAAAATTGATAAAATTTTAAAAACTAATAGCGCCATTCGATTCTACGTGAAAAATTACTAAAGGAACATGTATGACTTTTTAAAAATTTTCACTCGATTTGTTGTAAATAATTTATAAACAAATAGTGCACTCTCCTGTACCTATTTGAGCCCATCATTACACAACTAAACATTTCATCAAAATTATGATTGGAAACAGGACTGCGGATCAAATAATGACTTTTGACGTCAAAAATTGTTTAAAAAATAATTTGTTTATAAAAATTGTTATAAAGAAATAGAGAAAATTAATAACATTTTTAAAACTTATAGTGCCATTCGATTCTAAGGGAAAAGACTACTAGAATATTTTTAAAATTTTAAAAATTATGAATCAACAAATTCTGCCTGCATTTGTTCTTATGAAATATTTAACCTTTAGAATAGTCATTATTTGATCCGCAGTCCTGTTTCCAATCATAATTTTGATGAAATGTTTAGTTGTGTAATGATGGGCTCAAATAGGTACATGAGAGTGCACTATTTGTTTATAAATTATTTACAACAAACTAAGTGAAAATTTTTAAAATGTCATACATGTTCCTTTAGTAATTTTTCACGTAGAATCGAATGGCGCTATTAGTTTTTAAAATTTTATCAATTTTCTCCTTTCTCCTTTAGTAATTTTTCACGTAGAATCGAATGGCGCTATTAGTTTTTAAAATTTTATCAATTTTCTTCATTTGTTTATAACAATTTTTATAAACAAATTATTTTTTAAACAATTTTTGATGTCAAAAGTCATCATTTGATCCGCAGTCCTGTTTCCAATCATAATTTTGATGAAATGTTTAAGTTGTGTAATGATGGGCTCAAATAGGTACATGAGTGTGCATTATTATTTGTTTATAAATTATTTACAACAAACTGAGTGAAAATTTTTAAAATGTCATACATGTTCCTTTAGTAATTTTTCACGTAGAATCGAATGGCGCTATTAGTTTTTAAAATTTTATCAATTTTCTCCATTTGTTTATAACAATTTTTATAAACAAATTATTTTTTAAACAATTTTTGACGTCAAAAGTCATTATTTGATCCGCATTCCTGTTTCCAATAATAATTTTGATATTTTTATTTGTCTAATCATGGGCGTTAATGGGTTAATCCTGCACTGACTGACCCTACACGGAAAAAAAAGTACGTGAATCCTTCCTTGAAAGTGCTTGACTTTTGGATAGGACACAAAATACAAGGCTGTATTATATATTTTTTATTAGAAAATATAGAAAAGTCCTAGAGTTATTCTAGTACTAGTATGGGCAACAGTGTTTTTTAAATTTTAACGAAAAGTCATTTGTTCAGTTCAAGAAGGCTAGAGACAGGAGGTGAAACTTCGGTAGTGGGGATGAGTCAAAAGCCTTTCATTAACCAGGCGTTTTTCGTTTTCGAAAAGTCGCCGGCGCGGTGCTTCTACCCATCACTCACACATTCAAATTCTTGTATACCATATGTTTTACATATGTGTATGATATGATTTTAATTTGAGGTTAACTTTAAAGTGCAATCGAGACACAATTGACAATGTGTGTCATAACGGATATATAGAATTAATGTGAGTGATTATTAAATTAAGTGTTATTCAAATAGTTAAAAATTCCGAAAACGTGCTGTGTGAAAAGTTGTAACAAGAAGAAAGATAAACACAACACTATGACTATTACTTTTTGTTAACTTTTAATACACTTCATGCTACAGTTTACACATTTTTTTGTTTTTAAAACGTTTTTTTAATAACTAAAAGATGTTTGAAAATATAAACACTTATATTTCATATTGTATTTGTATAGAATATATTTTCCTGTGTTTACGTGTGTAGCTGCGCAGAAGTCCGTGTGGTCTATTGCGGCGAAAACTTTTTTTGAAAGTAAACGCCTGACCATACATCAGCTGAGCGACTCAGCATTGCCATACCCCCACTACCGAAGTTTTACCTCCTGTCTCTAGTCTTCTTGGTTCAGTTTTATAAAGTACGTGAAAGATTAGTTGACTGCGCTTGAAAATTCTGTAGAGCATGCGCAGTGTGCGTTGCGCGTTTCTACACGGAAAAAATAAGTTCAGCAGATTTTACGAAACTAATTTCGCACTAGCGGATATTTAAGATTCCTAGACGAAGTTTTTCAAAAACCCAGAAACTTTCACTACTTTAAGCAGAACAATTGTCGAGAAACTGCAACCAGTGTTGTAATTTATAAAACAAGCTTGAATGTAGAAATGTTTCGTATTTTCTGGTGAACATTTTATCAGAAAATGGTAAAAATGTTTCGTGCAATCTAAAAACGCGTGGTTTGAGTTTCCACTTCGCTGTCTATCGTGAATTCTCGAACACAAAGTTTCGTAAAATTCTATACGGGGTGTACCAAAAGTCGCGTTATAAATAGATATGTTGAAGCTTGTCTCGTCGCGTCGGTATTAACTTGTCTGCTGTATATATAGATATAATATGTGGAAGGAAAAAGAGAACTGCTTTACCTGCCGGTAACATTTGGATAATTGTTTTCTTTTACGTATTTCACATTTCATTGTTCCAAATTCGTAACATTTTTTATGTGCTTTTGTAATCCAAACTTTTAATTATTATTAATTTCTTTTAATTTACAGTCCAATAAATTTTATAGTTTATCATAATATTTACCGATGACAATATATATATTAATTTCTCAAGTTTTAACTGTTATTACTTCAAATTTTAGACAATTTAATATAAACATTTTTTGAGTTTGAATTTAATTTTGAAAATTTTTTGTCAATTTATTTATAATTTAAAATTAAAAATAAAATTATTTTCTAAAAATTGAAAAATATTATAGAGATTTTATAACTAATTATAATCAAAAAATGTTATTTTAAAAACCATAAAATATTTTGTATAACTTTTAAAAAAATGATTTTTTTTTAAATTAATATTCAGTATATTGACATTTCTCACAAGCGCAGTTTTAATCTCCTCAGTTAGTATATAAAGAAACTCAATTCTTTCATCTACAAGTGCGAGTTATATTGTATGTGTGTTGCGTCAGAATTCGTTTATATGTATGCGTATTTCCGTTAAGTTAGTGTCAGAATAAAATAAGCCAATCCAAGCGAACCATTGCGTTGTAGAGTGCAGTCACATGTGTCGAACCAATCATCTATCTCCTATAGAAGACGAGAAAAAATGGTCTTGAGAGCTCATTGGTACATTAAGAAATTCTTTTTTCTGCTTTATTCGTTTTTTTCTCCGTGAATATTTTTTTCCGTGGCGCATGCGCTTCAGGCTAAACATTTTACAAAACTCTTGAATTAGAACGTCCAACCGATCATTTGTGAATTCCATAGAATTTTTTTTGAGTTTTCGAGAAACGCAGTCATCATATATTACTGAGGCATTATTCCTGAACTACCCCAAAAATAAAAAAAAGTTCTTGGATTTCCTTTATACTTTGGAAATATGTTACCCTAGTAGGTACAAGTTACTACACCAATTTACAGGTCCAACCCCCCACCCCAATCAAAAGGGTGGGGGGTTGAAATTTCAGCTTCAACTCGAACCTGCATTCTTTAAACATTTGTAGTTTCTACTTAAATTATTCAATTAAAAAAAGTAAGTAGTGTTTTAGAAAGGTTTTTTTGTGTACTTTTAAAATATTTTATTTATATAATAAAAAAAAAATTTTTTTTGCAAAAATTTTTTAAAATAAATAGTTTTTTGCAATTTTGTGCAAGTTCGGTAGTTTTTATTTTCTTTTTAATAATCTCAAATGAAAGCTTGGGAATTCCTCTAAAAGAAGATATAAGTCTGAAAATGGGCCGAAACAATTTGCCAAAGATATAGTGTAATAAGTAAAATTTGTCCGTCCGCTCGCGCACTCCAGCGCGATGAACAGTGGGATTTTTTTTCAACTTACTATTGAAAATTGTCTAGAAACTACAAATTTTATCGGATGTTGATGTTCTTGATTTAAAATTACTAAGAGATCCATCAAAGTCGATTTTTGAATTTTTAATTGTTTATTTTTTTCTTGTTACTCAAAAATTTGACAAATTACAATATTTTTAGAAAAAATCATGTTAGTTTTTTTATTTTTCCATTACACATGATCGAAATTAATTTAAATTAGTCTAGTATGACCACCGGACAATTAATAAAGCATAATACAATTTATTTAAATTGTTGCAAACAATGTTAATTAACAAATAGATTACTTCGGACCTTCTTCATAAAAAAAATTGGTTTTTTTGCAGACAAGTTAAAATTTATGTCTAATTTAGTAAAAAAC